CATTACTATATTAATGGTTCGGTTTTATCAACTGTAGATTCTTTCGTTGATCTTGGTATTCTAATGGATCCAAAATTAAATTTTAACAATCATGTTATATCTATGGTAAATAAAGCCTATGGTGTCTTAGGATTTATAAAACGGTGGGCCAAAGAATTCTCGGATCCATATATAACGAAACAACTATTTACGTCTCTTGTTAGACCTATTTTAGAATATGGTTCTGTTGTATGGGATCCCCAATATGCAATATATTCTGATAAAATCGAATCCGTGCAGAAACAATTTTTACTTTTTGCACTGAGAGGATTACATTGGAATAGTAGTTTTGTGTTGCCATCTTATACTAGCAGGTTAAAATTAATTCGTTTGCCTACATTGAAAAGTAGACGTATTATGTTGAATACTATGATGGTACTAAAAATATTAAATGGTAATATACCTTCGGATTTCCTAATTTCTTCTATTAGAATAAATGTTCCTGTCCGATCTAGTAGACACTATCAACTGTTATATGTAGACTTCCACCGCACGAATTACTCTATGGGAGATCCTCTTAGTAAAATGTGTATTGACTTTAACTCTGTATACTCTAATGTAGATTTTTGCTTGAGCGTAGAACAAATAAAATCTAATATTATTGTATTTTTAAATGAGTAGTAAAACAACAAACTGGCTGTTGATGTAGATTCTGTAGCTGATTTTTCTATTCCACTCTCAAATCCCATCATGAATCGGATCATGGTGTGTACGCGATCCCTACGTAAGGGGAGGTCGGCCCTCGGTCGGCACGGGGTGGGAATGAGAGGCGTGGGAACGTCAAAAAAAAACAACCAATAATATTTAAGTAGAACAGGAATTTAATATTCCTAAACTCTTATTTTCCAATATCATATGTAACAACTCTTGTATATTATACGCAATAAAATTAATGAAAAAAATATCACAAGCATTTCGTTTTGCAAATATTTTATGCTAACATTTCTTCGATATGAATTCATAAATATTGCTTTAAAGCTTTTATAAAATATGTAAGAGAATGGCAAATTTTCTCATATTGAGGTAAATCATTATATTTGAATTGTTGCGGGTGTTGAAATAATTTTTGTTTTTCCTTCAAGTCAATTGTATGGGATCCAATATTATTTAAGCATTTGAATACATAAATCATAATTTGATATTTGTAAAGGTCATAAACTGGTAATAACGATTTAAATTTATTTTCAAATAGACTTAGTGTTGGGTGTAAAATTGGTTTTAAAGCAATGTAATTTAAATGACTTTGTATTAATGTATGGTAAATAAGTTATTTAGCTTCATGATTGTATTTGAATTTGAATTTATAAAGTACGAGGGGGTTCGGAAACTTCTTAGCCTATCAATGAAAGAGAATAGTTAGTTTTTAAAAAATATCCTGAAACTTCAATACACTTAGTCCAAAGCTTTTCTAGCAATTTTATCCCTTGTTTAAAATAGTTTTCCTCAAGGTCTTCAAAATAGTGGTTTACAACTGTAATTGCATCTTCATTTGAGGTAAAACGATTGCAAGCAAGAATTTTTTTTAGATTTGGGAACAAGTCACTCAGGAAAATAAGAAATAAGAATAACTCGTACTTTAATTGTAAAACACTCTTTAATGGCCGCACGCATTTCTAATTTTCCATTGTAAAAAAAATTGCGGATGCGTCTTTTTTGAACACCTGTTTCTATATGTAAGAGTTGACAGATCGAAACTAAATTTAACATGTGTTCATAACAGAGATGGAAGTTTCCAAAACACTTACGGCTAAGAAGTTTCCGAACTGCCCTCGTAGACCAAGTGCCGGTGAAATTTTAGTTTTCAAGATGCTTATGTGCTGATCCCAAGAAATATTTCAATTTAATAGCAGGTTATGATACAATATTTAATGTACTTGCCGTACAAGTTTGCCGCATATGTTGACATTAAACGACCGTCTCTGACTTATAGGGATAAACATACAAATATCATATACATACATGAACAAACGACCGCTTAACAAGATCATTGATTTATGTATATAATAAATATAAATGAACATATGTATATAATAAACAATATTGACTCCTTCACTGACTGATTTCCAAAAATTCTTTCCTATTTTCTAAATAAGACATCCAATGCAATATACTGGTATCATTGTTTATCACTGATAACACCTAAATAGGACGAAAGTTCGTAATTGAGTTATTGTAGTAAGATTCAAACCATAAATTTCGTGTTTTGACAAGCTAGTTCCCACGAAGAAGATTTTATTTAATCAATCAAATAACAGGTATAATATATAATTTTGCCGGATAATAGTTTTAGTAATATGACCGCACAAAATGTTTACCTTTGGATGAGCAGATTACTTCGATTCGCAAGTACAACAATTCTGTAATAGATTTTGGAAATTATTGATTACGCCTTGAAACTAGGAGAAAAAACACTCAAAATCGAGATTTGGCATGACGACCGTGAACTGAGTGCCTTAGTCACAAATAATTTACATTAAAATAGATACATCTTCCACGAAAATAAACTTTGGAGGTCAATATCATGAAAAGTTTGCAACGACAGATCAATTAGGCGGAAACAATTCAATTTTTCTTTAATAATAGTAATATAGGGGCGCAACTTGGCTTTGTTTAAAAATTGGCTTCATGCTGCGCTAGCACGTCCCCCAGTGTGTCTCAAGAGTCGGAGTACGAGACACCCCCGCAGTCTCCCCAACAGCAAAATGCGCAGCATTTAACACCACATATTGCTGTTCCGCGACTTGAAAATGCATCGTTTTTGCAGTTTAACTGCGACTGTCTTCGCAACAAAATCAGCGAAATTGTAGAATTTATGAGTCGATAGCTCAACATTTTGCACGGTTAATGAGGATGCCCCCACGAGGATAAGAGGAGATTGCCGCAGCTCGCCAGACATCACCATTGTGGCACCGGGTCTGATAAATGACGTAACCTGGCAACCCGTCGTTTCACTAGGCTCAGACCACCTTCCGATCATCGTATCCGTAAACAGACCACCAGACTTCATAACCTCTGAAAGCCGTATTTTCCTGAACCATAGAAAAGCTGATTGGCCTGGCTTCAGAGAGTTTACCAATCACCTCTTCAGAGAGCTGCCCACTCCCTCAGATCCACTGGTAGCTGAGAGGAATTTCCGTAAAATCATCGCTACTGCTGCCGCTCGCTTCATACCTGCTGGTCGAATACCCGAAGTAAGACCTAACTTCCCAGCAGAAGCAACGGTATTGGCTAATGAGCGTGATGAGCTCCGTCGTACTACTCCTGAAGACCCAAGGGTGCGAGAGCTTACCCTTGAAGTCAACAGATTAGTATGCGAGCACAAAAAGAAAAAGTGGCTAGACCACCTGAAGCAACGCAACATTGCCACCGAAACAAGGTTAAGTCACTCTCGAATCCTGGAAGGAAAGATGACAGGACGGCTGTTACATTTAACGACGTAACTGTAACAGACCCGAAGAGGTGCGCGAGTTATTTTAACTGGCAGCTCATAGATCACCCCGAGAGTGACAGGGCGAAAAGGAGTGTGCTACGTCGCATAAGGGCACTCCGAGCTGAGGAGGAACCACCACAATTTACGAAGGAGGATGAATAACGCTAAGTCATCCAAAGCGTTGGGCCCGGACGGAATTTCCATGGTAATGCTAAAGCAGCTGGATGAACCTGGAGTTGAGTACCTAACATCAGCCCTCAACTTGTCGTTAACCACCCACATAGTTCCTGAAGCCTGGAAAATAGGCAGGGTGGTCCCGCTACTGAAGCCAGGCAAGGATGACAGCAGGGGTGAATCGTACAGGCCGATTTCACTCCTGTCGCCGGTAGCGAAGACACTTGGGGCGCTACCCCTCCCATCGTTGAGAAGCAGTTTTCGAGTTGCCCAACACCAACATGGATTCCGTAAGATGCATAGTACAACAACAGCATTACACGCCATTTCCACACATATTAGCAGAGGACTCAACCAGAACAGGCCGTGCAACCGAACAGTTTCGATACCGTCAACCATGCCAAGCTGTTCGCCAGTCGTATGTGGAATTCAGAAACAGGAAGTCTAAACCCCGTAGAGTGAAACAGGGAGTTCCCCAAGGAGGGGTGATATCTCCGGAACTGTTTAACCTCTACCTTTCTGATATTCCACAACTACTTCCATCTGAGGAATATGAAAATATCCACCAACAAATCAACAGCCACACTGTTCACCACATGGACGGCTGAAATGAAGCTCCCACTGAACATAATGGTCTATTGTTGATAGACCATTATGTTCAGCCTTTTCAAGTCGTCCGCGCATGCCACTGCTTTATGCGATAAGCTGAGAAGTAGGAACAAGGTCCTCAAGTCGCCACTGAAACGATTTTAACAAAGCTTAACACACGTCACTCCGGACTCAATTTGGTACGCTGCACAAATTTTAGTCTCCATCAGATAATTATTATTAACTTTGTTGTACTACAATTGTGTTGTAGTTACGTCCTTTTGTTTAAGAAAATATCAAGTCAAAAGGACGTAACTGAAGTAAAACCAAATTAATTTTTTTTTTTCAAAAAATTAATATGGCACTATAGTACGGTTAAACATTGAAAAAATTTCCAGACATGATCCATTTTTATAGATTTTATAGATTTTTGTGTTGTTGTTGTTGTAGCAGTCCTCCTTTTGCTTTTACACAATGGGCTGAGGTGACAGACGTTGGCCAAGTAAGACTCGGGTCGTTTCGGATCGTAGACCCCTCTGTCGTGGAAACGGATTTTTGTGTAGTTACGTCCGCTTGCATTTATGATGACGATATATATATATATATATTTTTCAGATGTGCGAGGACAATACTGTTCACGCATTCTGTTTATTAAAAATGTTTTCAAAATAATTGAACTAATTGAAACTAAATAAAAAGGTCAAATAAAATTAAATCACTAAAATTTTGTTAGTGATATTGATATTTGTCCTCAAATATTTATACTTACGTTTAAATAGTCATGTTGATTTTCAATTGTATCTGGTACAATGTATCTTGCTGGAACAGTTTGTTTGGTAGAAAATGGACCATAACTAGCGCGTATCGATACAGCCTGTGTTGTTTGAACTACTGTGAAACGATCAACAGATAGAACTGAATCGTAACTTGCCCGAGTTCGTAGTGGAGGTACTGGTGATGAGTGGCTAGTAGAAATTTCAGGGGAAACTGGAGACTGTCGGGCATGTTTCAAGAAGAACCCACTATCAGCAGACTCAAAATGAACTTCCACGCTTTCACATCCATCTGAAACAGATAAAACGATTTTATTATTATTATTTTCATGACAATAGAATTTCGCCAGAGATTTGTTCTTAAAAATTTTAAATTTAATTTTAAAACTTACAGTCTGTTTTTGTAAAATTTTAAACGAACGAATTCGAGTGACTGGGTACTTACATCTGTACCCAACATGAAGTCGCATTCAGATTATAACCGAAAGAAGCATATTTCATGAAAAGAATACTATTTCCAACAATAGATTATGCAGTTTTGCGTACTGAAGAGTTCTTCAAAAATATAACGCAACGATATTACCCTGCAAGGTTAGCAAATTTAGCATAAGAGTATATTGGCACTGGTTGTGCCTCTCAGTTTACTCTTGTATGATGCATCTCTTAAAAACATTGACTAAATAAAAAATCGAGAATTTAGCTTGAATTCCTATCAATTTTTCTCCCGAAATCGATAGATATCTCCTGAAGAATTAGACTACGACAAAAGACTGAAGAATGATTTGGATCATAAAAACAGAATGACAAGTTTCTAAATATAAACTCATACTTTGTCTATAGATTCAATGTCTAAAAGCACATCCCCATTAAGGTATAAGGAATTTGTACAAGAAAATCTTTTTCTTTTTTTATCGAACGTTCCCACGCCTCACATTCCCACCCCTGCCGGCCGAGGGGCCGAGCTCCCCTTTCGTAGGGATCGCGTACACACCATAATCAGAGGGGGCAACCTCCACTTTCGTAGGGATCGCGTACACATCATGGTGGAATATGAGAAGGGAATAGAAAACCAGCTACAGAATCTACTCCAACAGCCAGTTTATTATTAAGTTCCACTACTCATTTAAAAATACAATTATATTAGATTTTATAAGTTCAACATTCTTGCAGAAATCTACATTACAGCACACAGAATTAAAATCAATGCAAATTTTATTGAGTGGATCTCCCATAGAATAATTTGTGCGATGAATGTACATATAATAGTTGAGAATATATACACAATCGAAAAGGAACATTTATTCTAATAGATGAAATTAGGAAATCAGAGGGTATATTACCATCTAATATTTTTAGTACCATCATAGTGTTCAACATAATACGTCTAATTTTTAATGTAGATAACCGAATTAATTTTAACCTGCTAGTGTAAAAAGGCAACACAAAATCACTATTCCAATGTAAACCTCTCAGTGCAAAAAGTAAGAATTGTTTCTGCAGTGATTCGATTTTATCGAAATATATTGCATATTGAGGATCCCATACAACAGAACCATATTCTAATATAGGTCTAACAAGAGACGTGTATAGTTTTTTGTTATATAAGGATCGGGGAATTCTTTGACCCACCGTTTTATAAAACCTATTATACCATAGGCTTTATTTGCCATACAAATAACATGATTGTAAAGTTTAACTTTGGATCCATTAAAATACCAAGATCTATGAATGATTCTACTGCTGATAAACCCACGAAAAACACATCGACACATACCACCTATTTGTCGACTATAAAGCCGCATTCGACAGCCCTATCCGTTCAGAGGTATTTAAAGCCATGTCTGCGTTCGGCATTCCTGCAAAATTAATACGGCTATGCAGGATAACTTTAAGTGGCACAAGGTCAGCAGTTAAAGTAGGAAAGGACCTAACGGAGCCCTTCAATACCGAACGAGGATTCAGACAAGGTGACAGTTTGTCGTGCGATCTTTTTAACATCCTACTGGAAAAGGCCATACGAGACGCAAAGGTGAACAGAAATGGCACTCTGTACACCAAACAACACATGTTACTCGCCTACGCCGATGACATTGATATAATGGATCGAACATTGCGAGCGGTAACAGCCACCTTTGAACAAATTGAAAAGGAGTCTGCCAATGTGGGTCTGGCAGTAAACGGCGAGAAGACCAAGCTTATGGTATCGACACGCAAGACGCCCAGTAGTCTCGGACCAACTGTGGAACTTGAGAACTACAGCTTCGAGGTAGTTAAAGACTTTATATACCTTGGTACCGCCATAAATAAAACGAACGACATTAGTTTTGAAATTCGGAGAAGGACTGTGATGGCCAACAGATGCTACTATGGTCTAAGTAAGCAGTTTAAAAACAAGGCCACCTCCCGCCAGACCAAACTCACACTTTACAAGACGCTTATACTACCCGTGCTATTATATGGATCAGAAGCATGGGTACTTGCGCAAGCAGATGAGGCAGCTCTTGGGGTGTTTGAGAGAAAAATTCTCCGAAAGATCTACGGGCCGATCTGCGTCGACGGTGAATATCGGCATCGAATGAACCACGAGCTTTACAATTTATACGCGGACATAGTCAGCCGTATTGAGCTGCAGCGACTACGGTGGCTAGGCCATGTTGTGCGGATGAATGAAAATGCTCCAGCTCAAAAGGCATATGAAAATCTAATTCAGCGATTCCCGTAGAAGGGGAAGGCCACGAATCGCTGAACATATCCCTTTATTACAGTTGAAGTAAACTGTATAGGTTTTTTTATAGTTGAAAGACCACTGCCAAAAGCCATATTGTTATTACACATGTCAATCAGATCTTAACATGTGTAATGCAAAAAACATATATTTAGTCGCTGAGTTTTAAATATAAGCTTTAAAATCCACATTTGATAAAAGCGAACCATTAATATAGTATAGTCTTATCAAAGAAGAATTTTAGAAAACACATATGTTTACATTTGTTTAACTTCAAGTCCATACAATTTAAGCTGCACCATTTAAATAAGCTATTTAAATCATGCCGGAGTAAATCAGCTTGAACATCTCCTGTGTCGCTGTCCAGTTCTGGCATACAGACGGCACAGATTAGTGGGTACTCACCATTTCTAAACTTCTTTTCAACTATGGAACCTACTTTAATCTACATCATCATCAGAAACCTGAAGTGGTTGGGAAAGTGCAACCTGAGCATCGGAAAAGGTATACATACAATGATCGCGTATAAATACAAAATATACTTCACAATTATTTGTTTTTCACATAAAATAGTTCCAATACAAGTAATATATTTTGAAAATGTTCAATAATAACTTATACATGTTAGCTTAAATGAATGATACGCTAACAATATTCGCCCAATATATATATATATATATATATATCAACAACGTGATGCAATCATAATAGTCCAATACAAAATTCGTGGAAAAATAATAGGCTTTTTGAAAAATTTTCGAGGTACAAATCAACAAAATTGGTACAGCTGTTTTTTGAGTTGTATGGGCTGTAACTAACGATTTTTCTTTTTCCGCGATTTGTCGTCGGAGATAAACGTTTTATATATCCTCCCACATACCGATATTGATTTGTTCATGCTCTGAAAAAATGTTCCAAATTATAGACAAACAGGTTGGAAAACTGGGATGAGATTGTCCTCATTTTTAGAGGACAATCATCTATTTTAACTGGCTGTCATACATAAAATGTATGTCCTCATTCTGTCATCTATTTAAAAAATTTGCCATCTTTAGTCATCTATATATATATATATATATATATATCTTGATCAATATTGATTCTAGTAATTTTTTTTATTTTATTCAGTAAACATATTTTCTTATTGTAAAGTTTCGAGACATTATTGGTCCGTTTCAAAATCTACAAGAATCTTAGCCGAAATTTTTTTCGAAAAATAATAAATATAAAGTAAATCTGTATGCACCAAAATTGAATATATAAAGAGATAATCTAAAACAATTTCGTTTAATATTAGATTCTTGCTGATTTGTGAACAGAGCAATATACATACCTAATAATTGGCCCTTTAAAATATGCACAAAATGTTGAATTCATTCTTAAATTTTAAAAATCCCCAAAATACTTTTAGTAGGGAGATTTTTTACTCAATGATCATACAAAATATAAAATTGCATTCAATTTGGTTTAAACACGTGACAGATCTATCCCAAAGTTTGGAGTAACATAGATAATTTAAGGTGGAAATATTCTCTACTCAGTGCAAACCCAAAATACCAATCCCCCCAAAATATCGAATAAACTTGGGCTAATATTGTAAATTTTTTGTACGCAGATTTTCTACTCAATGATAATCCGAATATTAAGTAAAGTTACCAGGAAAATTGGGCCAGTATTAATAATTTTAAGTAGGGCGATTTTCTGTTCAATGAGGATCCCTAATAATGCCGCAAACCTTCAAAACACCGAATATTGGGGGTAACGTTATACGTTATATCCAAGAAGGCAAAACAAACTTCCGATGATCAATATCGGTATGTGGGAGGATATATAAAACATTTATCTATACCAAAAATTTTCATATATTCCAACAATATACTTCATACCTAGAAAAATTGTTTTTGCAAATATGAATATAAATGGAAAAAACAAACGTAAAATGCCGAAAATTATTCCTTGACAATATTGTTAAGTCAATGCCAAAATTTAAGCAACTAAAAGTGCAAGTTTAATAAATGCCGCATAACTTTTTCAAAAATGGAGATATTGTTGGGTTTTTTTCAGATATTAATTTATGAAATAAATCATAATTTATGGATAAGGGAATTTTCTCAATTCTTACTTGGACAAAACCAAAGCAACTCTACAGTACAAACATATGAGCTCTAAAATTTTATTTATTTTTACCTTTATAATTACTATGTTTTGGTTTCTACACCTTTTTTTTATAGATCATTTTTAAATGCATTTTATTACAATAACATGTGTCTGGTTTTTTATATTGACTTACTGCAAAAAATATATAAAAATGGCTAGGAAAAATAGAAAAAAATAGATAAAGGAACTAATTACCAGTGATTATGAAAAATGTTTCACACAAATTATGTTGGTGAAATATTCTATAAATAAATCCGTGATTTCTCGAATTATAAGTCGGTTTTAAGCAACTTATTCGATAGTGTACATTCATTACGGAGGAAGGCTCCAAAATAACACCAGTTCGGACTAAGCAACAAATTGTCATAGCTGTAAAAACTACTATTTAAGACTACAATGGACATGACAAGATTTTTATCGTTGGATATAACCTCAAGAACAGTGTGTGGACAAGCCGAGAAAACCATTTCATTTCTAAATAATCGGCAAGGCAGATTGGCTTTCGCAAAAGCTCATATTAATTTGAATCCGACTCAGTGTAGAAATATTATGTTCCCGGATGAATTAAAGTTAAATAATAAAAACTAT